CCCAGGTTCAGGTCCTTCCAGCTTGTTCTTCAGGTAATAGGAAATCAGTTCCTCGTCGGTGGGTGAAAACCTAAACCCAGGAAACATTGAAGAAACCGCAATCGAAAGCTGAGCCTCCTTCGAAACCGCGCCCATCTATGCTATGATTGTTTTTGGCTCTCTGCTGTTTGGTTGCTGAGAGACTGAGCTAAAGAGGAAGAGTTGAAAGGAAAGGAAAGAAAAGGAATTTGATTTAACTGAGACTTGGACGTTTGATCAAATCTTATTTGGCTTTGTGCTTTGCTTTGCTTTTTCTCGCGTTTTTCTCTTTCTCTTTCTTTCTTTTGCGCGTCGACGTTTGCTTTAGGCGGAGGGAAGGGCACGTTGGACAGGCGGAAGGCCACGTGATGGTCACGTGGAGAGCTCTGTTCGAGAACTTTCTGCTTTATGTGGAGAGACTTGGGCGTGCCTATCTTCTGCCTATTTGGAACCAATACCATGCGCTCTAGCTGACACCGTGAAATATACACGGGTTTTATTGTTTTAAATAAATAAAAAAAGTCCTCTTTGTTTTTCGATGAAAAAGGGGGATAATGTTGAAGAATATAAAGTTCCACATCGGAAACTGACTAAATAAATTACAACTTATAATAAGTGGTTTCACTCCTAATAATGCCGAGGTCTTTTGTGATAAAACCTCATACCTACTGGGCTTCGTATGTGGTTAAGTTGGAAACAATATCTGTGTAACTAGTAGTGGGCCGATGGCCCGTCTCTCTAAAATTTAACATGATATCAAAGCAGGTTGATTGATTGGGTCTGAATTGGCCCTTTACCCTTACCCAATATGTGGTGTTCACATGTTGAACTTGAATGTTTACCCATACCCTTTACCCAATACGTAGTGTTCACATGTTGGACTTGAATGATTGACTCTGATGTGGACTTGGTTCCACGTGTTGCCCACTATGTCGTTGTCCCACGTGAGGGAGCGTCTTGAAGAATATAAAGTCCCACATCGAAAACTTAACTAAATAAATTACAACTTATAATAAGTGATTCCACTCCTAATAATACTGATGCCTTTTGTGATAAAATCTCACACTTTACTGGACTTTGTAGGTGGTTAAGTTGAAGACAATATCGGTGTTGCTAGTAGTAGGCCACTGGCACGTCTCTCTGAATTTAACAAATAAACCCCAAAGAACAAAGTCTTTTTTTTTTTTTTTTGTCTGAATATAAACCATAAAAAAATAAAAAAATAAAAAATCTATATCTAGACTTGTTGTCGACATTTCTTTTTCAAAGCTTCAATGAATGTCTCTATATCTAGCTTGTTGAAAAGATCTAATATATCAATGATACAATATAATTAATAACTAATTAAATGTTAGAGATTTCAATATATATATATATATGGGTGGATACGTGACACTACATTTTTGACACAAGTTTTGACACAAGTTTTAAACCCTTGGATTAGCCCACTATCAATCTATGTGATTAAACAAATTAATTATTTTATTATTTAAATAAGCAATTATATAAAATAAATAATTGACTTTTTTATTTCCTCTCTCTTCATTTAATTAAGTTTTGATGGTTTATTGACACAAGGCACTTCTTCTTCTTCTTCTCTTCTTCGTGCCTTCTCATTAACACCACCTCCCTTCTTCTTCTTGCTTTTCTCAGTAACCCTGAAATCACAAACTAGCCATCCAATTTCAGCAAATCATTGCATCTAAATCACAAACTAGCAATTAATCCTTAGAGTTAAGATTTATAATGATAAATCATTGTTTTAATAATCTATACAACAAGTTGCAGAGTAGATCACATTAATCTAGCCAATTTGTGGGCGTTGGAGAGAAACTGGGTTTTTGTTTTTGTTCAATCAAAATTACTTCAGAGTTAGGGAAGTAACGTGCCTTGGTTTTCATTCTCTTTATTTCCTATTTTGCTCTTGCCCTTCTTCCCTC